TTGTTGTGTCTTTGCAAGGCTTTGCTTCATTTGGTGATCAAGAAACTGAAGATGAAACACAATAGACTCATACAAAGTACAAGCCAAGAAATCAGCAGCATCTCTTCCATTAAATCCATCGTAAATCGCGCAAAACAACCAACCGTTCTCCTCAGAGCAAACAGCCTGAACTCTATCTTCCCCTGCAGCACCTCCCGCAACTTGAACTTCCATAGCAGATAGAAGAAACCCTTCATTAACAGAAGAAGGAGAACTCATTGAAGTCAAGTAACAAGATTCCTCCTCGGGAGGGCTCGGGCTAGTAGACGAGCTGCAGCTAAGACTCGCCATGCTTCCATGGAGAGAAGGAGAGAGTATATCGAGCTTCGAAAGCGCAGGAGAAGAAGGAACTTTCCTGAAAGATTTCGGTGAATCTAGAGATGGTAATATCTCAGAACCAATCACTCCGTTGCATATATTCGTATTGGCTAATGTCGGGTTTCCGCTTAAAGCAGCACCTGATAAACAAGAGAAACTACTTGTCTTATGAAGCCTAAATCCAGCAAGAACATCACGACCATCAGGAATGTTATCTTCAGGGATTCCTATGGTCTTCTTCTTGTTATTATTACATTGATAACCAAAACTTATCTCAATCTCTCCATAAGGATCACTTATTGTCTCTTCCTGCATTTCTTGTTGAAAATGTTCTGAAACAAAACAGCAAGATCCAAATTTACTCAAATCAGATTATACAATTTACACAACAAGATCCATCACAAACTTCAATATCAAGAAAAAAGTGAAGATAGATGGGACCAAGAGAAACCAAAAAACACTTTTTTTTTTCACTAGCACAAGTAAAATGTGGAGTTTCTATTATAAAACAAAAAAAACAAAATTATAGGAAGCCATTAAATGCAGACCACATATACAAAAAAAAAAAATTACAGATAAAAATTATCTAAAACCCAGAAACAGAGGAAAAAAAAATCTGTTCTTTGATAATTTTGAATGATTCACGTCTAGAGAGATATTAAACATTGAATGATTCCAAAATCG